ATAGCCAGATTCTAAGGGCTGTGCGGAAGGTCTGGAGGGTGGTGAGGGTACGAAGCTCCACGGGGAGAGCATTGCAACATCCCCACGTTCAGGTGATCAAAATTCAGGCACTTGGCAACTGGCATGTACTTATGACCATTGCACTGTCGTGGGGTCTTGTGATCACCATTTGTAACCCTCTCACCTTGAATTTCAGCAAAGAAAGTCGATGAGGGAAGACATATTCACTGAATAACAATGTGCTTCATTTAACAGCTGCAGTGATTTGCTTAACAACTGGCAAAAAAGATCATAACATGAGGCAAAACACACTTTAAAAACAGCCTTTTTGTAGCAATAAAATTTTTGGTTCAACTGTAGTTATAAGTCAAGGACTACTTCTATTCCAGGATCCCCCTTAGTTTACTGAAGAGAGAAAGGGCAGCAGTGATTACCCATACAATGCTAGCAAAAGACAAGGAATGAATATATTTCAACAGGGATATGAAGCTAGTTTGGGCCTACACTCATGATAAGGGCAAAGATGGGTTGGTAGTTTTCCACAAAATATATTGCCACCCAAGACTGAATAGGAAACACCTTGCTGGCTGTGAGTTGTAGTCATATCCAGCAAGAGGACACAAGGGAGACTACATTAAACAAAAAATTGGCTACTAAGTCTTTATAGATGAGCTGGTATTACTAGACTATTGATGTAACTTTGACCTCATAATTATATGCTTTGTTTCATTTTTGTATAGCATATTGCCTTAAAATAGTTGTTTTGCATAGCAAAGATATTTCTCTTCTGTAGGAAGTTTAATGAAAAATATAATGAGGAATGAAGTCTCAAGAAATATGATAAGAGCAGTAAATTATTTTCAGTGAAGACTTATATCCCCCAGATCTGCTGTTAAGGCAAAGTAACTGTGGATCTCTCAACTTACACTTTTTATAGTTCCCCAAACTCACATCAATGCAACCAACTCATGGATAATGAAACAGAGAAAGAATGCTTTTATTCCAAATGTAAATCTTTGCTTGGAGAATAAATAGTAAGTTTATATACCACAGTTTAAAGGAATGTGTTCCAAGTTGAATTCTTTTTTATTGTTATTATCATTACTTATAAAATAATGACAAAAAGGGAAGAAACAGAAACCCAAGAATAATTAGAATACAATGCATCAATGCAAAAAAAAAAGCCCCATTCAGAGTACTTTTTTAAAAAGTGGAAAAAATACAACAGGAAAAAGAAAAAAAATAGTAAATGATAATAATTCTACATAACTAGCAGGATTTTTTAAACCTATTATTGTATTTTGTGTAATCTAAATAGGGGTGTTTTCTTTTAAAAGGTTTAACAAGATTTTACTAGTGTTATCAAGTGTCTCAGAAAATGAATACACTACTGGTTTCCAGTTAGTTTTATTGACACAATATGAACTTCAATAATAATACCTATCTCAATATATATTTCAAGCTGAACCATCTTAAACTTTTCAAAGACTCGAGTCATGAACAAGGACTATTGCTGTATTTGTAATAATAGCATTTAAAGTTTCATTACTGCTGGATGTAATAGTGCTATTCATCTTATCTCTAACAGTATTATTCAACTTTGCATAATTCTTTTTGAAATATCTGTATATTTGTGTTTGCAGGATAATATATGAGAATTTACAAGACTGTGAGACATTTTAAATCCTCTTATAATAAATCTCATAGACCTCACACTCTTTTCACTAAGGCACATTAGACAGTTTTGCTGTTGGAATGAAAAATAGAGTTCGAAAATTTCCTATCACTGGAACGAATTCAGATTCCCGAAAGCAGTCCTAATAAGAGCACTAGCACAATTTGGTTATTATTTTTCTCTTAGACTTGGGATTGTTATTCTTCCTGCACAGTAATTGTTAAACTCTGTTCAGTGTTTACATTTATACATATACAGTATATATGAACTTAGAAATTATGAGTTGCTTCTAAGATACTTTTAGCCCTACTGTTAGCCCGTTAATAAGCTGAAGCTGGTATGGAATCTGACAGCTCTAGGGCAGTGTTTTTCAACCACTGTGCCGCGGCACACTAGTGTGCCGTGACATAGTGTAAGGTGTGCCGTGGGAAAATTACTTTATATATAGTCAATATAGGCACAGAGTTAATTTTTTTAACATTTTCTAATGGTGGTGTTCCTCGTGATTTTTTTCATGAAAAAAGTGTGCCTTTGTACAAAAAAGGTTGAAAAACACTACTCTAGGGTATTGTTCATGGATAAATAATTCCTTGTTCATACAAGCATATTAGAATATAATATTTTAAACGAAGCCAGTGCATCACCAACTGTCCACATTACATTCAATAGAGAATTGTTCTTATAAGATCAATTGCAAATGAGTATCTTTAAATGAAAAGGGATCTTGATCATTTGATTACAATGCAGTCCTGTGCATGGCCTCTCACAAGGAAGTTCTATTACAGTCAGGGTTATTATTAAGGAAGATTAATGCCTTTGCACCTTTATATTTATAGTTACCTTACAATGTGCCTCACAAATGCATTAACTTCTGCAGTTTTTGATTCCCCAACACTTCTTATTAATGATATAAATCTTTATTGACATAAATAAGATCACTGCCAGATCTTCTGAATTTATAAAATTCCTGGGCAGGAGAAATCAAAATGCCACTCTAATATGAAGGCATAATCTAGAATTTACTGTAGCTTTCTCTTGCAATTGGTATTAGTGGCATGGGGACAATTTATGATCAATAGGTCTTCTCATGCATCTTCTGTACATTCTGTTGAGTAGTGCGGAATAGTTAACAGTATTTTTTTAAAATTTATACTGCCACAAATTGTTCCTAAAGTGTTTCTATCACATTACCATATTTTTTATCTTGTATTTAAGTACAATGACAATAAAGATTATACTTATTGCAATTACAGTCTCATCAAAATTGCAACATTTCTGTTAGTCCTTACATATAGAAGTAGTGAATGCTAAAAACAAAAAATTGGGATCCCTGCATTTAGAAGTAAAACTCCATCATTTGTCTTTCCTCTCAAAACATTTATTGCTAAAATTTCTTGTTTACATTCTCTGTCTTATGCTTTGGTTTCCTACACCTAGGAGTTGAACGCAGGCGGATTTATGATATAGTGAATGTCCTGGAATCTCTTGATCTTGTTAGCCGAGTGGCTAAGAATCAGTATTGTTGGCATGGTCGCCACAGTTTGAGCCAGACTCTGAAAAAACTTCAAGAAATAGGAGAGCTTCAAAAATATGAAGAACTCATGACTTCTTTCCAGCAGAAAGAACTTGACTTTGAGTGTAGATTTGGAGAACACAAAAAAGAGAGCTTTGTAGATTTCCAAGATCGACAGTTGCTTGACTTCTCAGAGACAGATTGTCCATCTGGTAAGTTAAGGAAGAGAACTGGCAATGTTTAAAAAATGTATGTAAGAAGACATGCTGTATTATTCTATTTTACATTTTTACATAAATCGTTAGATTCAAATGATCATTTTTTTTAGATTCAAGTGGTCAATCACATGTCAAACAACTCTTGTGTTTTGTCCTCAAGATGCAACAGTATATAGCTATTGCTTCATAACTTGATAACCATGCTTCTATGTTCTGGTACAATTGATGGAGAATAGGGAAGTGCAGCAATTCACATCTGAAGCAGAACTGGTGTTTTTAAATAGGTATGGGCACCTTCAAATCCTCATTCAAGAAATGAAGATTTTTTTTCATAGGCATGTATAGTACTTGTGTCATACAGAGAAAGATATGTTTGAATTGAGGAATTTGTAAGAAAATGACAAGGTGCTTTGGATTCAAAGCATTGTACCTCCCTAATGAATAATCATTCCAGCTTCACTTATTCAAGATATCATCTTATAATCCTTTCATCTGTCCTGGAGATAGTTAAAGTGTAGCTATCCATCTGTTATAGGCAATTATTTTCTGCTCATTAAAAACATGCTTTTCAACAATGATTTTGTTTCTTTCACTTTTTTTTCTTCCACAAGTCTTCATAATATTTTCTTGGCTGTTAATATTGTAACATGTTGAGACTTGGGTTTTGTTTGTAATACAGCGTCTGCAAACAGCAGAAAGGACAAGTCGTTGAGGATTATGAGCCAGAAATTTGTCATGTTGTTCCTTGTCTCCAAGACCAAGATAGTTACTCTTGACATAGCAGCAAAAATATTGATAGAAGAAAGCCAGGATACTGCTGATCACAGCAAGTTTAAAAGTAAGAATCACTTCTGGGGAATGAATGTTCTGAATCAGCAAACAAAGGTTTTATTGGCAGAACTGGAGAACATATATAATTTTTAAAAATCTTTGGAGCCATTTCAATTTGAAAATAAGTATAATGTACAAATACCAAAAAACCTCTTTTGAACTTTGTTAAGTACAATAAATTCTTGTGATATTTACTGAAATGAGATCACAAAATAAATATGGCATCTCTTGTCAGATACTAAGATACTAACACATTTCAAATAGTGTACAGTCTTGCTTGGTCAAAATCAATGTTAAAAATTAAAACTAGTATTAGTTGAAATACTAGCTTTATATCCTTGTAAAATGCTGTGCTTCTAATTTGTTGTCAATAAAACTAAAAAAAAAAACGTACAGAGGTTAAGTCTGAAAATATCCGCCATTACTCACTGATAATATCCTTTAATGTATACCATATTGGTGGGTTTTTTTTAGATTCTATCCACTTATTTATTCATTCAAATGACCCTCAACATTTTGCAGGACATTTTACTTTGTGCCAATTCCCCATAATTTTAGCTTGGCCGCTTTTCTAATTTGTTACATTTATATGTAACAAATGAGGACATATAATTCACTACATTTGAACTAAAGCTGTTTTCCTTTCAGCAAAGGTAAGAAGACTGTATGATATCGCTAATGTCTTGACAAGTCTTGGGCTGATCAAGAAAGTGCATGTAACAGAAGAAAGAGGTCGTAAACCAGCCTTCAAATGGATTGGGCCTGTGGAATTCACTGGAAATAATGGTACTTTTCTATTTTTGCATTACCAACAAGTCATTTCTCATATAAACTTACATCAGTTATTGTATTTATGAAGAAAATTGATGATATCCAGAGAAACCTGTAAAAATTTCAATTGGCATTATACAGTGATAGAAAAACATGATTTTGTTTTTTGCCAAGTATCTATTAATTTGAATGGCTTAGTGTCCATGTGATGTGCCAAGGCTACATGAGGGTGAATAATTTGTGAACATATTTAACATGGAAAGCTCTAAATGAGACAGACAGAATAGATATGGAGAGATGATGTACATGCACTGTTCAGTGCACTGTTCAGTGCACTATTAAACAAGTTGCTAACATGTCAATGATATATCTGAAGCAAGTCAAGGAGTAATTTTATTATATATGATGAGCAAATAGTAAGCAGAACTATGAATTATGATAAGAAGACTGTTAAAAGGGGGTGGGGGAGTTCATTTTTTCCCTTGAAGAAAATGTAGCAGAACAAGCAATAAAGCGGCTACCCTGTTTCCCTGAAAATAAGACCTCCCCGGATAATAAGCCCCATTGGGCTTTTGAGCGCATGCGCTAAAATAAGCCCTCCCCTGGAATAAGCCCTTCCCAAAAATATTGCAACACAGCAGCAGCCATGAGATGACCACGCTCACCGCCTCCTGCACATCAAAAATAAGACTTCGCCGAAAATAAGGTCAAGTGCTTATTTCAGGGTCCAAAAGAAAATAAGATCCTGTCTTATTTTTGGGGAAACACAATATATTTTGCTATAGGACTCATGGTCTAGTAGATAATAAAGTAGTTGTCCTTTCAGGAATAAATTTAACATGAGTGTATTTGTTTAGATGATATAAAAATGGAAGTTCGAACCTTTGCTACTCTTACTGAAGTGAAAAGACCAACCCGTATTCCACATCAAGCTTGTTCTAATAGAAAAGACCGAATGTCACGCCATGCTTCTTTTAGCATTCCTCAGTCTTCTGAAATGGTCAAGAGGAAAGTTAGTTCTGAACCAAGCAGCCCACACAAAGAGAGACAAGGTAAATCTTGGGGAAAGCATTTTAGCTCTTCTAATAGCTTTCGGTTAATAGCTAAATGTTTGTGTGTTTACTTTTGTGTAACACAGTTTCTGTCTATAAACTAACATTAGATTACTAATTAATAAACAGAATATTTATAGCTCAGGATTCTCTAGATATTTAGTAAACCTAAGCTTAACGTTTTAAATTGTCTTAGCATATGATTTTGAATGAATGAAATTATAAGCAAAGGATCAGATAATTGAACAATATATCTATATTTGCAGATTATAGCAGCATACAAATTTGATCAATGAATAATGAATACTGATCTAGAAATGGAGTGGTGATTGTGAAAAGGGACAGAAACTATCTAGAAATCGAATCTTGAAATTTCAAAAGAAGGATAATGAATGACAATAAGAATGACATAAAGACTACAACAATGATTTGCAAGTTTGGAGTCCTAATGGACAAATGGAAATTTTCAGGGCATGTCATAAAATACTTAGTTGGTTCCAAAATGTATGACCTGAGTAACATAACCAGATGTATCTTACCTTAACATATTATTAATAGTACATCTCTCTCTCCTTTTGCAATTCTATACCCTATCTTTCGATACCTCTGTCCTTTTTTCAAGTTACTGGACATATTTCCAAATAAAACATGGCGTTATCAATTACTATTTCTATTTTGTAAACAGCTATTCAGAGTCCAGAGACATTCCTGAAAATAAAATAGATGCAGGAATCTGAAATTTCTTAAATTAAAACATTTTTCCTAAATTACAGAAAGTCAAGTGGATCAAATGAAGTAGTGTTTTATGGGTATATTTGCATTCTTGAATGCACATTATAAACACAAATCTTGAATATATATATACATACATACATACATACTTACATGTGTGTGTCTGTGTGAATTCTAGATCCTTAGTGACAGAGTTCACCAAAGAGATTCTGACTTTCCAATTAATCCTATATGTTCCCCATGTTCATCTAAAAAAGGCATAGATTAGGTTAGATTAAGAGAGAGATGATGATAGATAGATAGATAGATAGATAGATAGATAGATAGATAGATAGATAGATAGATAGATAGATNGATAGATAGATAGATAGATAGATAGATAGATAGATAGATAGATAGATAGATAGATAGATAGATGTAAAAACTCTGTAATACAGTCATACATTGATAATTGATTTGATTTTCCTTAGATGATTACTGTTCCAAAATGATAAACCTAGCATCTGTTTGCTGCCAGAATTTGGAAGATAACAAAAGGTACATAGAAATTCAAATCTGATGTCTTATTAAAAAAATAACATTCTGTTTTAAGCTTGTTTATAATTTACTGTGGAAAGGGCAGGTATCTGTTTGATGGAGCATTGGAGTACTGTAGCTATATATTAAAACATAAAATGTCTTTAGAATGAAATGAACTCCTAGAATATTTTATTTCTAACTATATTTATGATATATAGAAACCATGTCAATTACATAAAGATGTAATGCATGAATGGGCTATTTTTAATTAGGGTGATTAAACATTGTGTGAAAGAATTGATTTGTTCTACTAGTAGGTATATTAATTCACATTGTGTCTGCAATTTACCAGAGGCCTTTTTCAGGCCCAATTCTATTGCTTAAATGCCACTTATCTGAATCTCTTTCAGTTCCTCATATCTTTTTCCCATCATAAACTAAATGAAATAGTCTCGTTTATCTAAAACCTCTAGATATTTGGGTTGCATCCAAAGCTGTTTAACAAAGATGATGTTAGAATGGGAATACTTTAATGTGGTTAATTATTTTCTTTCATTTAGGCTGTTGATTTAAGCTCCAAGCTTGGCAATTTGGTTGCAAACATTTCATCACCATTCAAGGAAACATTGTCAGTGTGTTTTGAATTGTGACAATGGTCCAAAACGTTTGCAACCAAATTGCCAAGTTCAAAGCTCAGACCAACAGCCTAACTACCAACCCGAGTGACTACGGTAATATTCAAACACATTTCAATTTTCCTTCATCTTTCTAATAGAAGTATTGAAGCAGCAAGAAATCTGGGCATCATTTCTTCCTTCTCGGTTTTTCCTGTTCCAGAAGATTCAGACTATTGTGCTAATGTCTTCCCTTGCTTTCCTGAAAAGACCAACTCAGATGCATCACATCGGTCTTTACCAAATGGAATAAACAATCAAAACATACCATCTTCTGCTGTATCAGCTTGCAAAACTGAGACTGGGGAAACCAATGCACTCCCCAGCCAACCTTTTGTTTACTTGCCATCTGCATCCCTTTATATGCTGTGTGGGAAACTTCATGAAAGTCAACCACGGGAAAATTTGCCAGAAAAAAGAAGTGAAGACACAGGTGGCCACATTTCCCCCTGCTCATTAGAAACCACAAAATCTCCAGTTAACTTTCGCAAGCGGAGTTCCCAGAAGTGTGTACCTCCCACTGCAGCTCCATCTGAAGAGGCACCTATAGCCAAAAGACAAAGCCTGGAGCAGAGTGATGGTCCCATTTCATTAGTAGTATCCAAGGTGAGAGAAATTCAGAAGCTGTAGAAAACTAATTCATGGAGTCATTCAAAAGAACAGCTGTTGTATTTATGAAATAGTATATTCCATCTCCCTCATATATCACACAGTTGTCTTGCTGTTTATTTATTTAGAAAGGGAATATTGGCTCTTATTCCTTTCTGCATGTTCTATGAATTAACTGCTGCTAGTCCATCACTCCTTAAAGTTAAGGAGAAAGACTCCAAAAGGAACAGTTTAGCCTTTCACAACTAGATCCAGAGTATTTGTGCCAGAGTCTCACACAATAATGTTTATCCCAAGATAAGGTTGGTTGTGTTCTTTTTCGTTTTAGAAAACCATTCAGCCAGCTGACGCAAACAATAACTGCAGCTCCCGTGACCAGCAGAAAGGCCTTCAGTTCGAATCAGGGACTTCTGAAATTCTGGAAACTGTCATAACAGAAACCCAGAACCATGAAGAATCACATAGGAATAAAAATGTAAAAGAAAACTTGAAAGAAAAGGAACAAACCTCTCAGGAAAATAGCAAACCATCTTTTTTACCACAGTATCTCTACGTACAGCCTGCAGCTGGTAAGGGCTAAACTAAAAACATGCATGTTAATGTGGCATTTAGATAAAATATATTTTCACAACAGCCATGAATTCCTAGAGAGATTTTCAATAAAATGCCATCAACCCTTTAAAAAAAATGATGAAAGTCCAGATAGATACATAATATGGCAGATATATAACTTAATGTCTTGATACATTTCAGCGTAACGCTTCCAGGAGTGTTCTAATTGTGGTACAACCATGCCTGAAGCTCTATGTTATTTCTGAGAAGGCTCAAACACATCCAGTGATATTCAGTGAAGTTCAAATGGTATTTTGAGCTCAACGTGTTGAATGCGAAAATTTACAGGTCATTGCTCTTTTGTCTTTATCCTTGAGAAGACAGGATTTTGCTGTATTTGGTATCTTTTTCTTTCTTTCTTTTATTTTAGGATTAAATGGTTTAAATTTCCTGTTTCCTACCAACCAAGCCCCTGCTCCTGTCAGCGTACCTTCAAGCCGCTTGTCTTCACTTAATGTTCCCTGTATGATGGTTCCATCTACTGCATTGGCACCATTCCCTCTAATCTATTCCTCAGCAGGAACAAGCCAACTTCATTCTTCATCTTCTGCCTCTTTCCCAAATGTCACTTGCATGAATTTTAGTATGCCTGGCTTGACTTCTACAACTCCTGTTTTCATTGGGACCCCTACTGTGCTAACTCCAAATTCATCACAGTTACCTACATTGGAGCCACACCAGCAGTTTCATTCAGCTGTACATCTGAATCCTCTCCTTGGATCTGCTTGCAACTCCGTTAAAACCGACTCATCAATTTGCATGGGACATCCAGTCACCCTTCTCAATCTACCACAGGTAAGAAGGGGAATTATTATTCTAAAGCAAGGAGGAAATATTCACAAGAAGATTGAATAGAATTATATCAATTCTACTTAAGCTAGCTACTTTTATTTCCAAAATTGTGGTACATATCTGCCACCTAAAGTTTATAAAGTTATTGCTAAGTATTTTGTTATGTAAACAAGTTTTTGATTACAAGGCCTCCATTCAGGTGATTACTCATATATGAAGACCAAAACTTGAACTTAGTTGTATATATTTGAAATATTTCATTTTTAGATCCATGCATTCTGTAGTGCACATATATCCACCCTGCTGAGGACATTCTTACATTATTATGGTTGATTGCACAAGCAGCTACATGTTTAGATAGGATTTGGCATTTTTATCCGTCTACCATTATCTATTTACAACACTGAAATCATAGCTGCCAGTTGTTTGGGTGGTGTTGGGCTTCATATGGATGTAGTTCTTCCCAAGAATCTTAGGATGTCATAATATATTGGTGGACCCAAGCACTGTGGCCTTTTGCAGTTGTTCAATGGAAATGTTTTTATTAATATTGTTAACACAAGAGCTTCAAATAGTGGTCTTTGAAGATGTTCTATCACCAGAGTATGGTCTCTCAAATCAATTTCTCAAGTAAGAGTTTTGTTCAATTGTTTCAAGTCTAACAAATCAGCATTACATTCATTAGTATAGGACTGAGCATTTCTTACAATGCTAATATTTGTCTTACAATATTAAATGTTTTGTTGAGTAGGAATGAGACGATGTATAAAATATTTATTAAATTATACTGTCTCATTTTGTGCATAGCCTTCTACAACTCCACTAACTCCTAAGAATATGCGTCCAACAACTCAAGAAACATTGTTCAAGACACCTGGAAGTCTAGAAGATCCTATTATATGGCGGAAAAATGAAGGCAACCAGAGCAGAACATCAAGTTCTGTTCAAAGAAGATTAGAAATCTCCAGCAAAAGCTCTGATTAATGCAGCCCATTACTGCAATATGGGTAGCTAAGAAAATTTCTCTGCTTATTACAGAGAAAATAACCAATTATTGCATTAAAAAGAGAAAATGTGTTGAATATTGTTCCATAGGTACATTTGTCCACTGTGCATTTGCTATTGTTTCTCCATGGATACCCAACTAGGGTATCAATTTTGTAAATTTATTAGAATTCTAATTATGCAGATACAAACATTTTAATTCCAGGGTTGAAAAAAAAAGTATCAAAGAGATGAACAAGTTTAACTGTGATCCAAAGTCCAAAACTTTGGAGGGGGGAGGGGCTGGCTAGCACTTAAATAGTGGGGCACTCTTTACAAGGGTTCTATTTATCCTGTGTTGAGGGGGATTGGCTGAAAGGGCAGCAAGAAACCGCATAGTCTGCTGAGACTGGTTTAATCAAGTTACATTTGTAACTTCAAAGCAGACTTGCAGAGTGCTTGAATGTGACTAACAGATGTACACTTTTTCCTGCACTTGTTAAGAAAAAGCCTAATTTACAGTAATGAACGAATGTATTCACATAAATTACTTTAAGGCCAAAATAACTGTGAACTTATTTTTGTATTAATGAACTTTGTAGTTTTTCTTGTGCTTTTTTCCTGCACAAAATGTTCAGGTTCTTAGTAATTGTCACAAAAACTTTTTTCCTAAAATTGTAGAGGCAAAAACGTTGTTTCAAGAATCACCAGCCTCTAAAATGTTTACAGTAAACTGTAGCTCTTCCCTAGTTTCCAGGGAGGGAGCTGCAATTCTTGAGCCACGACTTCTTTACAGCATTACACAGAGCTCATCTTAACTGCAAATCTGCCAAAGGAACTGAAAGAATTATCTTTGACTAATGTGACTGTATTGTATAGCTGTATGATTTCCACAATTAATACTCCTAAATGTTCATTCAGAAACACTTTAAGCACAGTATTTATGGCGGTCATTGAGGTCAGAAGGAACATATGTAGGAGATGGAAGACCTGCAGCCTAAATATGAGTTAAATTAATCAATGTACCATTTTTTTAATTAACAGAAGAAAAAATTTGCAGTCTGCAGGTTTATGAAATTGACACGAGGGCAATTCATATTCACAAAGTAATTACTATAGTATTCAAAAATTTAATAGATTAAAATACTTTACATGGCACAGATACTGGATTTTAAAAATTATCATGTTACTTTTGAGTTTATAATCAAGTAAATGGCATTTTTTTAACCTAGAATGACTTTGAATTCACGATGTATGTTTCTTAAGGTCAGACACATTTTCTGATCTACCATTTCATTAAGTTTTAGGAGGAATTATGGCTTTAGTGTGTTTAATTTTGAATAATGGAGTATGTTACCAAAAGAATGTTAAAGATGAACAGTTTTAGTGGAGCTGAAATTGAGAATATAATAACTTCCTATTACATTAAATCAGTAAGAACCTTACATGGAAGGTATTTGATATGATTTACATTTCTTAAATCTCAACAGTAAAATCATTTTGGGAGATTTATTAATTTTAAAAATACTTTACACTACAGAAATTGCAGGTTTATGTGCCTTTATTCCGGTACATATGTGTGCATTCAAGTATGGTCCAATGGAATGATTTTTCCCAGTTACTGCAGCAGGAGACAACTCAAAATAGACTTGCTCTTAGCAGATAAACTATGCAGTACCCCTGTTCTTTATGAGTCTTTCAGTACAGAGAAAGACTAAAGGTGGGTTAAAGCTCTCAGATAAAAAGTCCACGTGTTTGTTTTATTTTGTTTCATAATTGACTATACCTTCATGTTTCCTGCTTCTTGGACAAGTTGGTTATGTTAAACTCATTAAATAGGGAAACTGAAAGTGAAATAATTTCACTGGCACAGCTTCTTTCAGTTAATATATTTATTCAAAACATCCAGCTTCACAATACTCTTGGCTGCAAATAGAATGATCTGGGGGCCTAAACGCCTGTGAAATGCTGCCATGAACATTTGAACAAGTAAAGTGCATCATTTCCTAGGAAAAGATAGGAAATTCCTCTGCATTTGAACTGTTTAATTCTCCTAAGTGTACCAGTCACACAATCGCTGCTGGTCTTGTAGTTCCTATTAGTTCGGTCTAATAAGGAGGTTGAAGATTTTCATATATCGTGAGCAAAAGCAGGAGCCAGGTTAATAGTGGAAGGTGAAATGTACATTGAGGCTTCCTTTTATCAAAGGGGTTGGCAAGATTAACTTTTAAGCGGAAATGCAGGAATGCAGCTTGGTGACTTGCTTAATAGGATGCTGAGATGATTATGATTGCAATAACTATTCCCATAAAGCTATGGCAAAACTGCTTCAAAATAAAGGGCTCCATAGTTTAAGACTGATTCAAGGGGATGCACACAGCACTAAATTCCATACAGGATTTCAGTGCTTTTAAAACCATGTTCTGGTACACAAGGGTTTGATGTGGAGGGAGGGAGGGTATGTACAACTTATATACTTGAATCTACATACCACGTTTACATTTCTCAACTTATGTAAAAGGTGCTATTCCTGTATTTAAAAGCCGTGTGTGTGTTTTATAATGTAAAGCTGCTTTATGTTTCTAACATTGCACTGCTAGTTTATTATCTTGATATTAACTTTACAACTGCTTATGGATTTCGTTCATTGAACAGAAATTACTTCCCTCTTAGGTTCCTTGCTACACTCCGCATATAAGACTATTAAAAACACACACTCTTGTTGGGGGAGCATATTTTTATACTTTCGGTTATAGAACTAATCTTTATAATATAATAAAAATAAAGCCAAACATTTGAGAAGTTGTGTTTTAATATTGGGAATGGAGGTTGATTACAAAAAGACAGCTGTGCTTTAACAGAGTTGGAAGGGATCTCGTCATCCAGTCCAATCCATCACCCAAGCAGGAACTCTACACCATTTCTGACAAATGGAAGTCCAATCTTCTTTAAATCCTCCAGTGATAAGCTCCTACAACTTGCAAAGGCAAGCTGTTCCATTGATTCATTGTTCTCACTGTCGGAAACTCTCTTTATTTCTAGGTTGAATCTCAGTTTCCATCCATTATTTCTTGTTTGGCCTCCAGGTGCCTTGGAATATAGCTTGACCCCTTTGTCTCTGCGGCAGCCCCTCAAATATTGGAAACTGCTATCATGTCTCCCCTGGTCCTTCTCTTCACTAGACTAGCCATGCCCAGTTCCTGCAACTGTTCTTCATATGTTTTAGTCTTCAGTCCCCTAATCATCTCGGTTTCTCTTCTCTGCACTTTTTCTCGAGTCTCAACATCTTTTTTTTTAATAGTGGTGACCAAAACTGGATGTAGTATTCTAGGTGTGGTCTTACTAAGGTGTTGTGGCACAGCAGGAACTGTTGGAGCTGCCGCCAGACTGCGACAACAAGGGATCTTATGAGTCGGCCTTGGAGGAGGTGGAGGACCCTGGACAGGGTATTGACTCCGAGCAGGGCGAGGAGAGACTGGCCACCAGGTAGTGGCAGAGCATTGGATCAAAGGGAATGTTCAGGAAAGCATTTGGGAGTTGTATCAGGATGCATGCAGGCGCAAGGCTACTTGGTGTAAAGAACAACGTAACTACAGGAGGTGATTACGAA